GGCCGTCTCGTGATCCGAAGCTCCAGGGTCGGCAACTGAAAGAGCACACGTCGACTTCCAACACGAATGACGAGCCCGTGGGTGTCCGTTGGTTTGTAGTATGAACTGCAGGCACCACTTAGTAGTACGCGGCCCCGTAGGGGGCCATGAGTCCCACTCAGTCTCCGAGGCGAGGTCGACGGCGACTTTGAAACCCTTGAACCTTTTCCCATGCCGACCTCCAGTAATCTCCGATATGCGAGCGTCCAGGTCTAGATCGTCGCCGTCGTCTCCGCCACCAATGGCCGGATCATGATCCGAGATCAGCATGGTGACCCCGTCTTGCATGAGAACGCCAAAGTCCCTACAGATGGCCCAGCCCTCGCCGGACGGCTTGTCCAGCACCTTGCTCTCTGTCGAGCCGATGTCCAGCCAACGCCGATGAGGCGCGGGTAAGCGGCCCGTGCCGTAGATGAGACCTAGGTCGTGGCCGAACACCTCATTAAAAAAAAAAAAAAAAAAAAAAAAACACAAAAAAAAAAAAAAAAATAAAAAAAAAACAAAAAAAAAAAAAAAAAAATAAAAAAAAATAAAAAAAAAAAAAAAAAAAATAAAAACAAAAAAAAAAAAAAAAAAAAAAAAAAAAATAAAAAAAAAAAAAAAAAAATAAAAAAAAAAAAATAAAAAAAAAAAAAAAAAAAAAAAATCATCACCTCAAAACAACAGGGCGTGTGGGCATGTAGACAGCCGCAAGGTAGTCACACGGCGTCCTCACGCTGCTCCAGTCTCGGTAGTAGCAACGGTGGTGCAGCAGCTCCAGGGGGAGTAGCCGTACTATCTGCCGCACCTGCAGCGAGGCCCAGCTGGGCGATCGGCGCCACGGGGTCAACGCCGTCGTCGATAGCGGGAATCGGTCTCCGAAGATTCTGGGCTCGACCTGCCGCTTGAGCTCGTTCGTAATGAGCTGGGCGTAGTATCTGTCCAAATTCGAAGAGCCGTCCCCAGTGGGACAGAGGCCCTAGGCCCTGCCCGACGATCGGTGTCCCCTCGAGATCGCAGGGCGCGCAAGCGAGCCGCAATGGGCAACTCAGCTCCTCCGGGTAGATAACTCCTGTCGGCGTCATTACCAGGCGAACTGTGGCGGCTGCTATGGCGGGCAGTACGCCCATGATCCTCTCTAAGGTGGTGGCGTCGCTGTACTCCAAGATCAGTCTCTTGTGCCAGAACCGCTTCTCGGACTCGTGTTTCGCGATGATCTCGCGGCCTGGGCAAAATAACCTCTGAGCTAGATCCGTCATGTCGGCGGCAATGCACCACGTGCCCCGCCGTCCCGACCGCGACTCCTGCAGCAAACGTCACCACTGAGACAGCGTATGGCGAGCCCACGTACGTACTCTGAACAGCGCAGGTGAGTGCAGACGAGGCTATCGGCGAGAGGGAAGGCCAGGCCACCTTGCCTGCCTCCCAAAGGGCATGGGCTGCCGTGAGAAGCATGCACCTCAGGCGTCGCCGCCCCCAAAAAGACTTGAGCGTAAACAGTTGCGGCCAGGCACCGAGAGAGAAAGACGTTCCGAGAACTGTAGCAGATGCTGAAGGTTTTCTTGACTAAACTGGAGCTGCAGATGAGCTACAGAGCTGTTCGGCACAGCAATCGGAAGGAACTCATCAGGCGCGCTAGCTTAAAGTATCTAGCTGACCTCGGTCTGCTATCAGAGCTGGGTCCGAAAAACTAGTCGTACTCTGCTAGGTTTTTGGAGATGCTGATGGTTTTCTTGACTAAACTGGAGCTGCAGACGAGCTAAAGAACTGTTCGACACAGCAATCAGAAGGAAATCATCAGGCGCGCTAGTCTAAAGTATCTAGACGCCTGAACTCGTCTGCTATCAGAGCTGGGTTCGAAAAACTCTTCGTACTCTGCTATGTTGTAGAGATGGTGATGGCTTTCTTGACTTAACTCGAGCTGAAGATGAGCTACATAGCCGTTTTTCACAGAAGTCGAAAAAGGAAATCATGATAAGCGCTAAACTACAGTATCTAAACGCCTGAATTCGGTCTGCTACCAGAGCTGGGTGAGAAAAACTATTCGTACTCTGCTAAATTTCAAAAAAGGAGGATGGTAACTTTCTTGAGGCAACTGGAGCTGCAGAGGAGCTACAGAACTGTTCGGCACAGAGTCGGAAGGAATTTATCAGACGCGCTAGTTTCAAGTATCCAGATGTCCGACCTCGTCACGCTTTCAGAGTTGGAACCAGAAAACTATTCGTACTCTATTATTTGTTCCAGAGATGCTTTCTCCTCGCTCCTTCTTCTCCTCCACGTCCTCCTCCATGAAACCGCGCCCTCGCGCGCGCAATGCGAGATTGCCGCGCCCGCATTGCACGAGGAAGCTCTACGAGTTCCCGGCGGTAACCAAGGTTGACGGTTTACCGCCGGCTCCCAGTTGGCACACCCGGCTCGGGCGGACAATGTGACGACCTGGGGTCGATTTTCGGAAGATTGTGAAAGATTTGGCAATTCGTTTTGAGAACCGATATTTTTCGCACCTGTAGTGGGTTATGCCGCGTCTGCCAGTGAAATTCTCAGGTCTCTAACTGCAGTATTACTATCAAAACACTCGGCGGAGTCGACGTCGTACAAGAACAAAAAAATATAACAAACACGCTCAGAGATTCGAGCCTTCCTCTCGATACCCAGTTCTTGCACACCTGCAATACCTCGTAGAACTCTTCGGCATTGATGAGCTAGAGGAATTCCGGCGCGGGGTGCAGCTAGTTGGCCCACCGGGCCCTGACGGACAATGTGATGACCTCGCGTCGGTTTTTCGAAGACTGTGAGAAATTTGACTGTTCGTTTTGAGAACCGCTATTTTTCTCACGTGTAGTGGGTTATGCCGCGTCTGCCTGTCGAATTCTCAGGCTCGTAGCTGTAATATTACTGTCAAAAGACGTGGAGGAACCGACGTGGCATGAAACCCGAAAAGTTTCATGTGGCGAGTTCTCGGGCTGTTGGAGGACGCTCTTCGCTCGTTATCCGCACTGATATGGGTGTTGAGAGCTCTACGAAGATCCCGGCGGTAACCTGGTTGACGGTTTACCGCCGGCTGCCAGTCGATGAGCTAGAGGAATTCCGGCGCGGGGTGCAGCTAGTACCTCGTAGAGCTCTTCGGCATCGATGAGCTAGAGGAACTCCGGCGCGGGGTGGAGCTAGTTCCCCGACCCCGCGAGAACGGACAATGTGACGACGGGGGGGTCGTTTTTTGTTTCGAAGATTGTCAGATATGTTGAAATTCGTTTTAAGAATCCTGATGTTTGCGCCGTGCAACCGATCATGGCGCGCTCGATGGTGACACACAGCTCTAGCTACACAGCTCTCGCAAATTTGGAGCTACCGTCGACCATCGCAAGCCCAGACGGGCACTGTGGCAACCCGGCGTCGGTTTTTTCGAGATTGTGAGGGATTTGAAATTCGTTTTGGGAATCCAGATTCTTAATCTTCTGTAATCAATCATGACGCGCTCTATGGTGCAATTCTCAGGGCTGTAGGCGCAGTATTTTCATGAAAATACTAGGAGACACCCGTCGTCTAAAACCAGAAAAAATACATTTAGCCAACTTTGAAGCTACAATTGAACGCTGTTCGCTTGTTATCTGGGCACTGATTCGGTGCGTTTAGAGCTCTACGAGGGTCCCGGCGGTAACCTGGTTGACGGTTTACCGCCAGCTCCCAGTGTGGCCCGGGAATGGAGTTGTGGGAACTCGAAGAACAGGAAGTGGCCTACACTTGGCTCCGGGCATTCAAAATCATGCCCAAGAATGGAATTCTGGGAACTCGAAGGCCACGAACTGGCCTACAGTTGGCTCCGAGCATTCCAAATGTGGCCCGGGGAAGGGAGTTCTGGGAACTCGAAGAGCACGAAGTGGCCTACAGTGGGCTCCGGGCATTCAAAATGTGGCCCGGGAATGGAGTTCTGGGAACTCGAAGAGCACGAAGTGGCCTACAGTTGGCTCCGGGCATTCAGAATGTGGTCCGGGAATGGAGTTCTGGGACCTCGAAGACCACGAAGTGTGTAACTGTTTGCTTGAAACGATTTCCGCGGATCCCTGTCCAGATGCCGCCCAGACCCCCCTGGGGAGTCATGATGCTCTCTTTTGACCTTCTTAGACACCTATCAGTCTTCGCTGTTAGGTAAATAACTCCTTCGTGTCGCACCCAGAGACGCGTCGGTAGGGCGGGCTGGGCGTTTCGCTTGAGACTTCCTTACCATTCACGATCCTTGAACTTAGAATTTACAACCGTTTCACGGACTGAGGGCGGGCGGTTACAAAACCGTGGCTCTCGCGCGCCGCGCCCATTCATTCTCAAAGTGCGCAAAGAGTTTCACAGAAGGAAGGTTGCTCCTTTTCAAAATGTGGCCCTCGCCTTCGCGCCGTGCACACTCGTCCTTGAGAGGTCACAGCAAATTCAATGATTCAGATGGTTGACGTCCCAGAGATGGTGTCTTTGCACAACGTAGGACTGTCAGGACGCAACAGTCACGTCGATGCGCGGTGTTGAAATCCCAGGAACGGCATTCTGGAACGATTCAAAATCATCAGGACGCAACAGTAACGCTGATTCGCGGCGTTGAAGTCCCAGGAACGGTGTTTTGCCACGGTTCCAGATTTTCAAGCGATTGTCTTCCAACGGGCCACATCCCTTAGTGAAGCTAAATCCTTGTAGGGACCTGTGAAGAGGGAGCTTGGATGCAAGGTTTACTGCAACATCGTTGATGAATATTTCCTCCACCTCCTCCTCCTCCACCTCATTTTCCTCCTCCTCCTCCTCCTCCTCTTTGACTCCGCGGGTTGCGACGCAGGCGCTAATTAACCGTCTGTTGTCGGAACGGAGCGAATGTCGAGCCGAAGACGCATCGGAGTCGCCCTCCTCCTCCTCCTCCTCTAATTCCTCCTTCTCCTCCTCCTCCTCACTCCCTGAGCCTCCCCCTCCACTCCACCCCAGAGCCCCCCACC